CACACACACACACACACACACACACACACAACAACAACACACACACACACACAACACACACACACACACACACACACACACACACACACACACACAAACATCACGATGATCGTCTCACTCGCTCGGTCATGTTGCGTTGCCCACTGTCATTGTGGTGTATTGTGTGAAAGATCATGCTGTTGAAGCGGCAGCCCGGCGGAACGAGCGGGAAGAACCAAGCGTCATCTCGCAATCGCCTCGATGATGTGGCTCAGCACGACCAATCGGTATGCAAAGATATGCTCGTCACTCGCTCCACATGGGTGCTCACTTCTTGCTCAACAGGCTGCCTCGCCTTCATCCCCCCCCCCTCCTTCAAACAACACACTGTGATAGCAACCACATACACACACGCACACACACGCACACGTGCACCCTCTCACACACCTGTCTGCGCTGCCGCCATGCTGCGTCGTGTCAAGCTGGAAGACAAGCAGCGGCGATATGAAGAGGCGCGCGCACGCATCATGGGCGGCAGCGAGAGCACTGCTGGCACTGATACTCATGGCAGCACCAGTCGCACCAACCGCACACGCGGGCTATCCAAGCAGCAGCACCAGCAGCAGCACCAGCAGCAGCACCAGCAGCAGCACCAGCAGCGCGGGCGAGGGAGAGGGAGAGGTGGAAGAAGGCGGAACGCAGCACCACCACCATCATCGTCGTCGTCGTCATCATCGGCACGACAGCCATTGCCATCATCGTCGTCGTCGTCATCATCGGCACCACTCGCATCACGCGCTGATCAAAGTCGCGCACGAGGGGGTGGAAGCGGAAGGGGCGGAGGAGGAAGACGGCGGGGGCACAGCAGCGGTGGACGTCGTGGCGGCAGTGAGCACGAGGTGTTGTGACCCGCGATGCTGCTAACGAGGCGCGTGTATCCTCTGGTGGGTTCACACGCGTAGCGTGTTAGGCTTGTGTTTGCATTGCAGGCAGGCCCATTACTCTTGTTGCTGCTGTGACGTAACAGTAATGTGATGAGACGTGTGTTGCTCACCACACATGGTGAATCGTGGGTGGTTTGTCTCGTTATTACGGCTGCTGCTGCTGCTGCTGCTGCTGCTGCTGCTGTTGTTGTTGTTGTTGTACTGGAGGCGGCGTCGCGCAGTGCTCACGGACCACCTTCAGTGCAAGCGTGCATGTGGAGCAAGGGATGATCCATGTGGTGCCCCGCACACTTGTTGTGATCTGATCTTGCTCCAACACATACTCTCCGCCACACCGGCACTCCGCATAGTGAACCTCGTCATCTGACCAAGTGGCAACGAGAAAGGAGGGAAGGGTGTAACGGACAGAAGAAAGATGGTGGGTGTGAATCCTAGACCAAAGACATCAGTGTGCACGCCGAGCTTGGGAGGCGGGTCGCAGCAAACCCGCCCATGGACAATAGTTTCAGGTACACATGCACGTGCATACAGTGACAGACAACGCAAGTTACACACACTCCTTTCACTGTTGCACAGCTCGCCCATCAACCAAACGAGCGCCCACGCAAACCCAGACACGGCAGTGGTACCTTCATCGAGCGTCATGTCTTCCAGCGCCACTTCGTCATGAAAGGGCAGGTCTTGTTTCGTCTCTTCCTCTGCATGAGGCAGGTGTTGCGAGCAACGACACCGACGTGTGAGCGCAAGCACCTCACAGCATTAGTGCACAACTACACCACAAGCACGTGGCACTGTCTCTGCTTGAATGGAGGGATTCATCAAAGCACTCTTCCATCCTGCTCTATTCCATCCTGATCTCTCTCCATACCAATCACGCGCACATGCACACACGATGCACACACGATGCACACACGATGCACACACACACATGCTCCTTGTATGGAGGGGTTCATCAAAGCACTCTTCCATCCTGCTCTATTCCATCCTGATCTCTCTCCATACCAATCACGCGCACATGCACACACGATGCACACACGATGCACACACGATGCACGCACGATGCACACACGATGCACACACGATGCACACACGATGCACACATGCTCACTCACGGGCGAGAGCTGCGTCGTAGCGGGATCTGGCATCTGGTTTGGACAGAATCGTCCATGCCTTCATCACTTCGATGAACGCATCGTCATCATCGTCCACGCCTTCATTGTCACCATGACGACCGCTGCCACCGTCATCCCGACCGGAATCCTCGTGATCCCGGCCACCCTTGTCCACACGGCCGTTGGCCTGCCGCTTGTCTGGGTGATGCTTCCGCGACAGTGCGTGGAACTGCTTCTTCAGTGTCCCTGCATCCGCTGTCCGCTCAACCCCAAGCACGTCGTACAGCGTGCGCTCCGCCATCGCTTGTTGTTGTTCTGTCCGTTCGTCGTGCAGGCTCGTGCTAGGGGACAATTTTTATGGTGTCGCAAACCGTGACCGTTGCAAACCTGCCGCTGAGACACTTGCAGTGGTGCAGACGCTGGCGTCATGGTAAGCGACAGCCGGCGACGTGCACACCTGCAACACCCCCCCCCCCCACGAATTAACTCACGTCTCCATTTGCACACTTGCCAATGACTCATTTGTCTCACAGGCGCTGTACGACTCGCTGCTCAGTCGGGATTCCGCAGAACAAGATGTGCGGCGTCACACGCGTGACATCATGCGTGAAATCGACCTGGTACAAATTATGTGCATGGGGTGTGTCTGTGTGTATGTGTGTGTCTGTGTGTCTGTGTGTGTGTGTCTGTGTGTCTGTGTGTCCGTGTATCTGCGTATCTGTGAGTGAGTGTGTCTGTGAGTGTGGACATGGGTGTTGGCTTTGACACGCACCAACCAGCCTCTCAACTCGAACAGTGCAATGTACTATCATTTTGCAATGTTAATTTACATGTCGTCACACGACACGGTTGTAAATTCTCATTGCCATCCCCCATCCCCTATCCTGTGCCTTTGCTTGGTCCAGGAGCCGTCTCCTGCAAGGCTACCGCCACATGCGCTACCACACGGGCAACGCCACCAACAACAAGAGCAACAGCAGCAGCAACTACAGGGAGAGCACGGTGGAACCCAGATCACAGAGAGCAACTCCACAGGTCTGACATACACACACACACATATACACACGTGCACGTTTTCATATGGAGAACTGTGTGGAGGATAGCTCAACACACTACACAGTAACACACATGTTGCAACACCCAATGTTTCATCTCACCACCCCTCCCCCTCTCCCCACACCGGCACGTTCGAATAGCGGTGCTTGCGGCGTTGGAGACGTTAAAAGACAAGGTGCGACGCCTGGAGCTGGAGAAGCAAGCAGCAGAGACAAGCTATCGGCGATTGGAGAAGGAGAGCCGCGCATTCAAGGATCGCATGAAGCGAAGCATGAACCGGTCGCAGCAGTCTGAACAGGAGCTGTTCTCTGACCTGCAGTCATCGCTCCACGCCACGGAGACGCGCTCCCAGCGCCTCGAGAAGGAACTCCAGGTGCGTGTGTGTGTCTGTGTGTGTGTGTGTGTGTGCATGTGTGTGGGGGGGGAAGGAGAGATATATCGCTTTCGGTTGTGCTGGTCACATGCAAAACTGCTTGGTTCCCGTCCCCCCCCCCCTCCTCACGCACGCACACACACACACACATGTGCAGGATCTGCGCCAGGCAATATCGCGCATGCAAGACCGAGGAGAGGCGCGCGCACGCAAGTACGACGCACAAGCAGAGGCCACGGACACCTCAAGCCACTACTACCCTTGGCGAAACGCCACTGACCTGGGCGCAACTGCCACAACCACAGCGACTACAGCGCTGGGGCCAGCAACATCGCACGAAGCACGCCAACACCAGCCGCGTGCTGGCCAGGGTGAGCAACAGCCACACCCTCAACGCAGGCAGCAGCATCCAGACGAGCGCCACCAACCACAACAACAGCAGTATCAGCAGCAGCAGTACCATCGCGGGAGCGTGGGAACAACGACAGCAGCGACGGCTGGCGGATCAACTGCGCCTGCACACAGCAGCGATGGCGACGACAATAATGGCAATGGTGGTGGCAGCAGCAGCGACCCGTCCAGACACACGGGCCCACCATCGCACCTGCAGCAGCAGGCCATGAGCAGCGGGGAGGAGGCGCCGCCACCGCCATCGTCGTCATCAGCGCTGGGTGCATCGGCAGCAGCAACCAAGGGCAGCCCGCCTCTCACGACGGCAAGCAGCCACGTGTCGAGAGGCACAACAGCAACAACGGCAACCACCGCACGCACTGGTCACCACCGTCAGCAACAGCAGCAGCAGCAGCAGCAGCGCCCATGGCGAGGGGTGTCGACGTACACGCACAGCAGCGACATTGCTGGCGTCCTGTCCACAGCAGCAACGCGCGGGTCACCACACACGCCCTCAACACGCGATGGTCATCCGCCCTCGCTACACGACTCCCCTGCCTCTCCAAGCACCGTGCCCGCCCCAGATGCACACCGCCGCCACCGCACATACCAGCACCACGACACGCAGCCGCACCAGCACCACCAACACCACCAGCAGTGGAGTGCGAGTGGTGAGCGTGCCCGCGACCCCTCGGCCATCTACTCGATCGATGCAGATACAGTCAGCTTCCGTCGCATCCAGTCGCCCGCGGCGCACGCGTTTGCAGAACACACGCACAGGCACTATGGACAGCACCACAAGCAGCAGGAGGAGCAGGGCCCATCGCGGGAGTACGGGAGCGCATCTGGACGCACGACAGCGGAGACAACCACCTCTGGCATGATGTACGTGTCGCACTACGCACTCCCGGAGCAGTTCAACCGGTCACAACAGCAGCACCATCACCAGCAGAGAACACCCAACACAACCATGGCGACAACGGGCACCTTTGGCAACAACAGCAGCCACGGTGTTGCGCGCATGCTCCCTGTGTACCGCCACCTGCAGACGGATGAGCCGTGGCCCGATGGCCCGGCTGTTGGCGCCCGCGTTCGTGCTCGTGGTCGCTTCGTTGATGAGAAGGATGGTGATGGTGATGGTGGCAGCGGTGCTAGGGGTGCGCGCACATACGATGCTGGTGAGCGCACACGTGTGACTGCCGGCGCTGATGCCGTGCTGCTGCTGGAGGTAGACGAGGGGCGTGTGCCGCGAACTTCAAACGGGCAGCAGCGACGCCAAGTGCGGCGAGAGACCAGGGCTGGCGGTGCCCAGCGGTACAGCGAGCACGACGCACGGATGGCGCCGTCTGTATTGGAGACGCACGCCAACGAGACAACACGTGCCTCGAGCACACTCACCACACCAGCGCGCGCACGCAAGGACACACACCAGCAACACCACCAGCAACAGCGTGTGGACATGCATGAGACCATGCTGACACACAACCAGAGCGCGCTGTCGCAGCAGTCACTGCGCACACCGTACCACGCCCTGCAAGCAAGTCGCCTCAACGAGACGGCCACGGCTGCGAAATCGCACGTGCGCAGCGGACGGCGGGCGGTTGGCCGCAATGCCACGCGCTCCCCACCCCGACTCATGCCCTTACACTCCATGGATGATGAGAGCAGCGAGGGCGAGGGCGGTTACGGGCGGGCTGGCAAGGATGATGGCGGTGTAGTGAATGCCGCTGCCTTCCACAACATGTCACGCGAGAGTGACAGCAGCAGCAGTGGCGCAAACTACCCCAGTGTTGTTGGCGAAGCGAGCCACGGTCAGCGCACCTCCATCAGCTCACACTCGCCACTCAGCCAGCACCAGCAGCAACAGACAAAAGGGGGCGCGACACGACAAGATTCCCCGCGTACGCTCGTGCAGCGTTGGATGCTTTCGTCTGATGTGCCTGACACGCTCTTGCACGACCCAACCACGCCATCGGCACCGCCCATGCCGCCGCCCGGGCGCCACACACGCACACGCACACGCACACGTGATGATCGTGGTAGCGAAGCTCGCACCGGCCAGCGGGAGCATGCTGGAGGCGACATGCTTGGGGAGCGCGATGAAGGAGGTGACGGTGACATCACTGGTCGTGGTGGCGGACGCGATGATGGTCGGGGCGATGCTGTGCGCAGGAGGGCAGCAAGGACAAGCACTGGGGGCTCTGGGCGGTGGAATAGCACAGGCACGGGCATGCGCTTTGCAGACCTGTCCATCAGCAACAGCAACGAAGGTGACAAGACGGGGCACACGGCGCACACGCTGACGCCCCTCAACCTCACGCAGACATCCATGCTGCCCGGTGCCGGCAACGGCAGCGGCACCCGTGGTGCCCGCGCTCAGGCCAACGCCGACTTGGACGCGGTGATGGCGCGACTGCAGACACGCGCACACCCGCAAGGAGCAGCGACACGTGCAGGCACAGCAGCACCAGCCGCGGCTACACCGACACAGCCGCCATCAACCACCGCCACACCACGACCGAGAGCAGCAACAGAAGCAGAAGCAACAGCGGCGGCGGCGACGGTAGCGGCGCGTCAACGGCGGCCTGCTACGGACTCGGGGGAGAGCAGTGGGAGCATGCAGGCGGAGCTGACGAGCGGTGGTGGGCAGAGGGTGCAAGACAGCATTGATCACGACCACGACACCTCGAGCACGACCGGCATGCACGGCTTCACCACCGTGGACAGCATCACGCCGCCCCAGCCAGCGGCCCCGGCAGCCCCCGCGACTGTGACGCCGATGCGGGTGAGTTCGATTGCGTCGACGCCACGCCGCTACGGCCGCGCCACGCTCATGCGAGAGACGCTGCAGCAACGCACAGACAGCCGCGGCATTGCTCATGCCGGGGGCGAGTATGACGACTATGATGACGGTGATGATGACGTTGTCACTGGCGGCCGTGGTGGCAGCGATGATGGCAGTGGTGACGACGCTGACAAACGTGATGCGCACCCGTTTCCTCGCGTGCCCGTATCTCCCATCCGCTCACAGCAGCAGCAGCAGCAGCAACAACAACAACAACAACAACAACAACGACGACGACAACGACGACAACAACACCACCACCAACAACAACAACTTCAACAGCAGCAGCAGCGGCAGCAGCGGCGGCAACACGTTGGTGATTTGTCATCCATTTCGCACAGGGGCGAGTCTGATGTTGCGTCACGGTCGGAGGAGCACTCCTCCTCGGTCCTGACAGCGCACGCGCTGTGGCGACACCAGCACGAGCTGTACGGGACAGCAGCGCATGGCGCCGACAGCGGGGCTGGCGATGGCGGTGATGCCGCCGATATGGGCGACGAGAATGGTGGTGATGGTGGTGTGCTGGAGCAACGAGAACAGCAGCAGCACCAACAGCAGCACCGCCGCCAGCAACGACAAGAAAAAGAGGAGGAGGAGGAGCAGCAGCAGCAGCAGCAGCAGCAGCAGCAACAGCAACAGCCATCACGGGTGTACGGCCGTGTTCGTATGGGTGGGGACAAGGATTCCACAACACCTCAGGGGGTGACTCGTGTCCGTGGGAGCAACGGCCAGAATGCAAGTCGGGACGTGTTCTTCTCATCACCGACATCGCACCTCAGCGAGTGGTCGCAGCGGCCAACTGTTGGCTCCCGGCACTCCCCCATCCTGTCATCCCCACGCACGGTCCTAGGAGAGCAGAGCGGCGAAGGCAACGGCAACGGCACCAACGACAACGACGACGATGACGCAGACGCCAACGGTGTGCACACTGGTGCGCGCGGTGTTGGTGCGGACGAACAGCGAGAGCAAGACCAAGAAGAGTTTCAGCGACAACAACAAAAAGAGGAAGAACAAGAACAAGAAGATGTGGCACACGCAGAAAGTGTGGACGATCAGGAAGAAAGGGATATGCATGCGCAGCAACGGCATGAGAAGGGTGTGTCACGGGCGTCCCAGCAGCGGCAACCGCTCCAAGGTGGCGATAGTGATGACGATGGCAATGATGGTGGCCACTCGCAGCACGATGTGGAAACGCCTGCCAACGTCACCGCCAGCAGCAGCGGTGGCAGTAGCAGTAGCAGCGAGCGGCTGAGCAACGAAGAGAAGCAGCGCATGCGAGCAATGGACGACTCCATGGCGTCTGCTCTCTTTGAGGATAGTGGTGGCAGCGAAGGCGGTGATGACGTGCATGGTGATGTCGGTGCACTTACCCCGCCGCTCAGCTCTCCACCCCGTGACCGGCAACAGCCCAAGACACCAGCAGCAGCAACTGCAACTGCAACTGCAACCGCAGCTGGGAGGGGGCGTGATGATGGCGCCGATGCTGTCGTGTCGGTGCACAGTCCCATTACGTCAAGCCCCTCATCAGCCGCCAGCAGACACCGCCGCGTTTACACAGCGAAGCAGAAGCGTGGCAGCAACAGCAGCAGTGTTGGTGGTGACGGTGATGAACGTGAAGGGGATGCCGGTGGTGGGATTGGTTATGATGCTCCATTTCCTGGTGCCGTTCGCAGGATGCAGCACCCTCAGGTGCGTTCAGGGGAGCGCGGTGGCGATAGCAGCGACAGCCACCTCAGCCCTGCCAGCAGCAGAAGTCGTGTCAGCGGCGGTGGTGCTGGTGCTGGTGCTGGTGATGATGGTGAGCATCATCACCACGGCATGTCCACACCAAGGCGCGTGCATGCTGCGCGTACCCGAGCATCGCGACTGAAACGGCCATCCTCCCACTCCTCAGGATCCAACCACTCGCGCCCGTCAAGCGTGCTCACGCCTGTTGTTGACGTGGAGCTGCCACCGTGGTGCAGCCAGCAAGACGAGAGCCGAGCATCTGACCCGCGCTGGCTCGTGGGCGGCGACGGAGACACCACGCGCGCTTGTGGTGGTGATGATGACGACCTGTTGCATTTGGATGCGCTACGCGTGTCTGGTGGCGGCGACAATGTGCGTGGAGTGGCGACACAGACGGGTGCATCGCTACTTGGGCAACACAATCGGAAACGCCAACAACAGCAACAACAGCAGCAGCAGCAGGAGCGCGATGGTGGTCTTGGTGTTGGTGATAGCTGTCGCCCACCGGCAATGAAACGCGATCATACAAGTGTCAATGATGGCGGTGACGACGGTACCGAAAGCAGCCGTGGTGCGCGCACCTCTGAGTCGCTGTTGGAGATGGAGAGCAGTGACCGCACACACGCGTGGGGATCATCTGTCCTAACTCCTCGCACATCGCTCATGCGCCCACCGCCGTCAACACCACCTGCAGCAAGCACACGCAAGCGCAACTCGCAGCAACAAAACCAACAACAACAGCAGCAGCAGCAGCAGCAGAGGTCACATGAGCAGGGCAAGGCAAAGGCCCTGCCCTTTGACAAGTCTGTCGTACATTCGCGTGCAAGTGATCTCCACAGTGAGAGCAATGGCGACGATGATGATGACGGTGGTGTTCATGATGACGACGGCACTGCCGGTGGCCACAGGACACGTGACACCGATCGCGGGTACGATGGTGTCGTGCACGAGTTTCCCATGGACGAGGACACGAGTGCATCTTCCCTTGACAGCGATGCGAGCGAGGAAGAACTCAGCAACGGCAACCACCAGTACCAACTGCGCCGTGATATGCATCCTCGATCCAAGCGGAGTGGGCGCGTTGGTGTGCCCATGGTGAGCGAGAAGGATGGCATGCGAGGAAAGGCGCAGAAGCGAGTGCCCAATCGCAAAGACAGCCCTGGTGTTGCAGGCAGGAAGACGAAGGGAGGCAGTGCACAGCGAAAGGCAAAGCACACAGGCGCACCTGCACGCCGTGGCGTCCACAGTGATACCAACGATGGTGATGATGATGATGATGATGATAACGATGATGATAACGACGACGACGACCACGGTGGCAGTGATGATGCGGTCGCGGTACACAGGCGAGCAGTCGGCAAGAAGAAGGCCAGCCAGAAGCAGCGCAAGGTCAAGGGCAAGGGCAAGACTGCGGTGACGAAGCATCTGCATGACGGTGGAGACACTGTTGATTCTGCCAACGATTCGCACCACGGCGCCGATGTTCTGGTGCGTTGCTTATCAGCACTTGCTTTGTGTGCGTGTGTGTGTGTGTGTGTGTGCGTGTGTGTGTGTGTGTTCACGAGTGTAGAGCGCTGTATGCTTGTGTACGTAACATGCCTTACATGGCATGATGGTCTGCATCATCTCACCTCCCTGCTGCCCATGGCATCTCTGTGTATTGCCGCGTCATCTGCCTGTATTTCAGCGTCGTCTTCGTGCGATGGAAAGGGATGCACGAGCGCTGATGGTCGGCGCGCCAACGACTGAGGTACCAAGCCAACCAAAATGAGGAAAGCGTGGGACACGTGTGTGTGTGTGTGTGTGTGTGTGTGTGTGTGTGTTCTTCCACGCGCACCTTTGGAGCCTTTTGGATTGCGTGATTTTGTCTTCTTCACGAACTCACCACCAACTACACGGCCGCTGTTGTCCCTCTGCACTTCAGAGTGATGGTGACTTGCAGTCTGAGATGGCCGGAGTGCTTCGAGATCTTCGGTCTCGTCCGCACATCACCACTGCACACAGGAAGCAGGCAGTTGCCAAGCAGGTGCAGTTTGTGCGTGTGTGTGTGTGTGTGTGTGTGTGTGTCTGCCTGTCTGTTTGTGATTGTGCGTTCATGCAATTGTGCAGTTTGAATTGAGGCATTCGAATGTGTTGTTATTGTTGTTGTGTTATTGTGTTTCCTGGCCGCCTCTTCCGCTGTGTCGGTGTTGCGCATCTTGAGGGAATGTTGCCGTTCCCCTGTCTCCCATGCATTCACGTGTGCCTAATTGGTGCGCATCTGCCTCCCATTTCAGCCCAAGAAGAAGAGCAAGCGCAAGCTGCGAAAGAAGGTACTGTGTTGCTGCGTCAACGATCATGTTGTGCTGCACCTTCACCGGCATCAAAGCTCGTCACCAAAGCACATGCCTGTGTACCCTCACATACACACACACACACAAATGCACATCATGCACACGCACACTCACACAAAATGCACATTCATGCACGC